CTCTAACTGCTGCAACAGCAAAAAATGATCTTGATATTTTAAGAACAATTACAGAAGAATAAAAGAAAGCATATTTTGTTTCCTTTTGAAACTTAAAAGGGTTCAATTTGAGCAGATGATTTTACCATCGCTGTCATCGTCAGAGAGCACTTCCACAGTAGGCTGCATTCAGCATCTGCCTCACATTCACGATCTCAACCATATTCTCAAAACTATCTTTTTCAATGACTTCATATTCAATATTTTGATCACTGGCAGCTTATTCACCACATCCAGCATCAAATGCCAGTGACATTTATAGTTCATTGCGTATAGTAATTGCTCTGCAGTAAAGTCATCGGTTACATTTTTGCTGATGATATTCGTTTGTTTTATGCCTGCGGTAATTATGAGTGAAACGTCACGTCATTATTGTGTATCAAACAGTGCCACCTTGAGGAAAAAAAGATGCATTGCACAAATCGAGTCTTCAGATACAGTAAATATAGTCGCGCAGGAAAAAATACTTACACATTTACATACCGTCTGTAGCGACCCAATACACTTTTTAAACAAATTAATCAGAAAACCGACATTCTTTTATATTTTACTATTTTTTTTTCTTGTTATATTGTTCATAATGAATAGATTGAGGAATACTAAGAAAGTTGATGTCTAACTAAAAAATGTAGGATGAAGAGGGTAGAGAATGATGTCCCGGGTCGCTAAAGATAAGGATTAATAGTGTCAATTTGCCATGGTTGTGCTATGTATCACTTGACACTTCTCCACAGAACCACTGAACCAAATAATACACAAAAGAAACAACACTAATGAGATTGATGCTTTCATAATGCTTTATTGGTTCCACAGCAAGAAAAAGAGAAGAAAATAAAGTATAATCAAGCTTTTAGTTTTCTGTTCATAATGACTGATTACTTTGATAATTATTATTTCGATTACAATCACTTTGACTGATTACTTTGAGGTTTCTCTTAATGCTTGAGCTCCTCTGTTGCTGCAGTGACAGATTATAAAGTACATTTACGGATGGAGCCGTCAACACACACGACCCACAGCACTCCCAGGTCAAAGCTCACATGCTTGTGGCCATTGGGACAGGCAACCATTGAGATCCAGTCTGTGCCAACAGGGTTGGAGAGAGTGACTCCAGTTCTGCTGTTCACTCCCCAACAGCTGTACGGGCCACAGGTGTAATACTTCAGCTTTCCATTCATTTGAACCCAAGGAGTGGTGCTGGATGGCCATTTGTCATTAGCATCCATATTTAAACAGAATATATCATCATTCATATTGACACCTGCAATGATCTGATCACCTCCAGCATCCACCTGTTTGAGAAGCCCTAACAACACAATCAACAGGTTGGATGAAATATTAATAGGGACCATAAACTGTAAGATGATGTCTTTGGGAAATTAAAGTTTAAAATTAAACATTTTAAAATTAAAACATGTAAATTCATGACTGGGTAAACTTGTCTTTTTTTCTTAATTTTGCTCTCTGTAACTCTTCACCTGGAAACTGAATGAAGGAACCACTCAATGGTATTTATTACTACGATATACAGCGAGCTTTTCATGTCAGCAGACAATATTCCATATAAAATATCCCTGCAAAATAACTGCATCACTGAGATTTTTGGTGGAGTAAACAATTTATTCTGAAGCAATATTTTCATCAGTGTTCTATCAGCTTTTACATACTTAAATCTGCATATTTAACTTTACAAAGGCCTATTTTTAACCTTTTTAGATGTATGCACAATCTTACATGTCAAATTATTACAATTTATCAATAAATGTAATATACACTATAGGGCTGCTACCAGTCAGATTACATAATTTACACTGCAAATAATAATAATTACAACTGCAATAAATAATGTTATGAGATTAATGTTTTAAATGCATTTATGAGTATACAAATAAGAAATGTTGAGGGGAAAAATGCATACTTTTCAACAAACTTCTCAACTGAACTACCAGTAAGTGACGGTAAGTCATTCATTCAACTGATTGAGTGTGTTATCATGCTGGTATCTTAAGGACTTTCGTGGACAGCTGACTCCTAAAGTTTTTGATATTCTTCATATTCTGTGTGGTGGTCAGATAGAAATGAATCTTTTCCAATAAGTTTAAATAGATTTTTACCTTTTATGGGCATTTTACCTTCATAAAGCCATTTTTCTGTAAGTGTGCATTATCTTTTGAGTCAAATTCTTACATTTAATCAGTGAATTAGAATAATAAGACATTTGGGCTGTTACCAAGCAAATGAAATCAGTATCAACAAAATTCATCTTTGCAATCCAGACATAAGCTGCACCTGAAGTGGCATTTAGATGCATTTACACGCAATGCAATGCATTTAACCTGCCGTTACAAATGCATAAATAATGTTTCGATATATTAAACATAAAACACTGAATACTGATAGTTGAAATAATAAAAAAAAATGAAAAGATACTTTATATGTGAAATTAAAACCACCAGTAGGTGGCAGTAAGTCACTGTTAAGTGAGTCATTGCGACTGAACCGAATCATTTAAACAGTTGATTCATTCAGGAACTAAACACCATCATGTTGCTCAGAGACACAAAACAGCGCTGTGGCTTTGTCTGGAATTATTTTTGTTGGCGAAATAGTGCAAAAACAGGCAATATGGTGTCTAAAACGTAAGTCTCTTAATAAAACTTCTAGTTGATTGAACTGTTGTAAAAAATCAATATCACATTTGTATATGGTAATTTTTGGAGAAAAAAGGGCACACTTCCGTGTGAACTTGATTAACTATATGAATTGGTATAAATATAACGTTACACATTTTCTGCCCCCATGTCTTGAATTTGTGATCATTCTGAATGTATTTTAATAGACTGAATCATGCAGTGAAAGAGCACACTGTAAATGCACACGCACTAGACTTCATGTAATGCGTGCACTCTGTAGGTGTTTAGAATGTTTTTTTGCGTCGTGAGAATATTGAGTAAAATAGCTCACTTGTCATGGTGTTCTTTAACTATATCTTGTTATGAATAAACAAAACATTTTGAATTTTTACCTCAGTGTGTTTCTTCTGAGTTTGTGTGCGCGGTCACGCTCATTTGTTCTGAAGTCTCGAGACAAACAGAGCGAGTCTCAGCGCGAGCTTGTATTCTGTATTCTGCTAACTTACTGCAATTCTCTCTGATGACGGAGTAATTTACCACGGGAAGAAAAAATCTTCGGTCTGTCCAATGATTGTAAAGTCATTAGGTCCGTTAGACTGAAGATATTTTAGCAGTAATGAGACCAAAAATATTTAAAGGGATAGTTCACCCAAAAATGAAAATGTGATGTTTATCTGCTTACCCCCAGGGCATCCCAGATGTAGGTGACTTTGTTTCTTCAGTAGAACACATTTAATGATTTTTAAGTCCAACCATTGCAGTCTATCAGTCTTATAATGCATGGCAATGGTAACAAAATCTATGAGTGTAAAAAACATGCACAGACAAATCCAAATTAAACCCTGCGGCTCGTGACAACACATTGATGTCCTAAGATACAAAACGATCAGTTTGTGCCAGAAACCGAACAGTATTTATATAATTTTTTACCTCTAATTCACCACTATGTGACGATGCAGGCCTGAGACATTGCTTGTGTGCATAGGGGCCTTTGAAACTGAAAATTGGCCTCTTCGCTCTTCAGTGAGCAAAATAAAACCAATAGAATGTACCTGCGTTCTTTAAGCAGCCCTGATACTCTCCCGTGTCCGGCTACACAATCCTCCATGAACAGCCGTCCGTCCCACGAGGCCGAAGGAACACCCAACACTCCCGGTGGCTGGGTGCGCTATCCGGTAGCATCTCGTACCTTCCCTCGATGTCAGAGGACCTTTGAGTGCTTCCAGTGACTTGAAAGGTCTATCTGATTCCTCAGTCACATCCCACGATGAATAATGAGCTAATAGCAAGCTCAATAGTGCAGAATAGTTCAGCAAATAATGCTAAAAGAGATCGCTGGTTCTCAACAGGCCTTAGTGTCTTCAGCCCGTGAACAGTTTCAATAAACAAATAGTTAACACACAGCCTGCGTCAACTATTATACTTAAACACCCAAAAGATACTATAAACAAAAATAAATCGTATAACTCGCGTTTTGCAGTTATAAAAGTTAGATTTTTATCAGAACCAAACCCTTCAGTGACCCGGATCTCCTAATCGCTGTTCGTCTTCTCCACACAATCTCTTAAACGGCCAATAAAATCAGCCTCACCTATGAGAGGGCGGGTCTAAACCAATATATATCCAATCAGCTAAAATAAATCAAACTTGATAACGAAAACCAGGTTTTTTCGCAAGTGCACATCAACCAAACATTAGTGTTTAGTGAAGGGCATCATAAAGGGGAACACACACATATACAAGTGATTTGTACCGTATACATATTTGACTGTAAAACCCTTAACAGCACAGTGTTCTGTTAACATGCTCTCAATAAAAACCTAGTTGGCTATTATAAAATCAAAATTATAATTCACTCTTTTAAGGGTAGTGTCTTCAGCCCGTGAACAGTTTCAATAAACAAATAGTTAACACACAGCCTGCGTCAACTATTATACTTAAACACCCAAAAGATACTATAAACAAAAATAAATCGTATAACTCGCGTTTTGCAGTTATAAAAGTTAGATTTTTATCAGAACCAAACCCTTCAGTGACCCGGATCTCCTAATCGCTGTTCGTCTTCTCCACACAATCTCTTAAACGGCCAATAAAATCAGCCTCACCTATGAGAGGGCGGGTCTAAACCAATATATATCCAATCAGCTAAAATAAATCAAACTTGATAACGAAAACCAGGTTTTTTCGCAAGTGCACATCAACCAAACATTAGTGTTTAGTGAAGGGCATCATAAAGGGGAACACACACATATACAAGTGATTTGTACCGTATACATATTTGACTGTAAAACCCTTAACAGCACAGTGTTCTGTTAACATGCTCTCAATAAAAACCTAGTTGGCTATTATAAAATCAAAATTATAATTCACTCTTTTAAGGGAAACTCATCTACTTTGCTGTAAAGCTACTTATAGCTTATATACATGTATAAACTTCCCTGATAACTATAAACATTGGAATATTGGATTCAAAAGGCGGAAGGATTGAGTATCTGACTCTCACGCAAGAAACCCGAGTTCGACCCGAGTTTCTGACAGAAATACCATCCCTGCAGGGCCCACGCTGGCTTTTTGCAGGCACAGTGGGCTAGGGCCAGCCCACACCAAACCTAAAGGTAATCAAAAATCTCTGTTTACATGGTAGATTCTTAATCAGAGTATTGTCTTAATCGTATTAAAATCGGAGTATTGTTGTCCATGTAAACGTACTGAATGAGGCAATACAAAATGGAAACAAAGTATTAAATTTGCCAAAACACTCGGTGTTCCCTAACATTCGAACTACAGCCATCATCCTTCCCCTCAGACAGGGCCAACATTGTTTATCTCATCACTTTCCTTTCTATAAATAAAGAAAGTCAGCAGTTTGGCAGGCCCAAAGCCCTTTCTGTTCAAGTTGTGCTGCATTTTTAGAGGAATTATCAACCTGGCGGTCTGGCTGGACAATCGTCTGAGAGAAAAAAGCTTGAGTCACCAGTCCACAGCCCACAGAGCTATTACCACCATCCCAAGGCTCACCTGAACCTATGCAGCTGGGTGGTACTCGGATCTTACCATGGAAACGTGACCGCTGCATGAAAGAGCGGTGTAGCCTGTACTGTGGATTGCCTGGACATTTCCGTTCTGCCTGCCCAAAGCTCTAGGGAAATACTCTATCCCGTATGGGCAAGGAAGGACTTTAACAGGAATTACTAGTTTTGCCCCACCGTCCAATTCAGGACTGTTTCTCCCTATCATACTTGTTTGGGGTAATCATAAGCAACAACTCAAGGTCATGGTGGATTCAGGTGCAGCTGGGAACTTTATGGACTTTTCTCTTGCCAGGAATCTCCAAATCCCTTCTGACTCACTTGCGACCCCTCTGACTGTTATTGCTCTGGATGGAAGATCTCTGGGACCTGGGAAGGTAACGCTTCTCACCTTTCCTCTCCACCTCTCCATTCACAAACACCAGGAGGAGTTGTGTTTCCATCTGATACAGTCTCCAGTGTTTCCTGTGAATCTTGGTCACCCCTGGCTTCTTCAAAAGAAATCCACCTCTTTATCTCCACACTGTCCATATGACTGCGCCATTGACTTGCTTCTAGGTAACTGTCCCCCCAGAGGTCACATCTTCTCTTTGTCTTCTCCCGAGCATGTAGCAATGGACAACTACATTGAGAAAGCCCTTGTGGCAGGGATTATTTGTCTGTCCAATTCCTCTGCCTGCGCTGGTTTTTTCTTTGTTGGTAAAAAGGATGGGGGCCTTCACCACTGCATAAGATTATCAAGGCCTCAACAAGATCACTATATGGAACCGTTACCCCTTGTCGCTTATGGCCACAGCTTTTGAGTTACTGCAGGGAGCTTCCATCTTCATTAAACTTGACTTGCACAATGCTTACCATCTAGTGCACATTAGACAAGGGGATGAGTGGAAAACTGCATTTTTAACACTCCCACTGGGTACTAAAAGTACCTAGTTATCAGTGTTAATTTTGATTTAGTCTAAATCATAGTCTTTTGACTAAAACGCCATTTAGTTTTAGTCAGATTTTAGTCATCTGAATTGTTTTAGTTTTAGTTTAGTTTTAGTCAACTAAATATCATAAGATCTTAGTCGACTAAATCTAGAGTAGATTTAGTTTGCTCAAATCTAATGGGTTTAGTTCAAATATCCAACCTCATGTAGGTTTGATAAGGGTTTATCATGCAATATAGGAACAGATTTAACTGCTGTGACACACAACATGCCGTTATATTAAAAATAATAAAACCACTTCTCATAAAGAAACAAGAACAAGAACTGAATTCATTGTTTGAGAAGCGCTTTTTCTGTGCGCTCAGAAAATTGGGCTGAATTAAGTTCTCTTTTGCGTCGTCATGCTTTTCAAATTTATCCACATGTCTGCTCTTTTCTTACTCCCAGATATTGACATTTTTTAAAGTTTTATGAGATGTGCAGCAAGTGTACGCTAGCTTATGTAACCCTGGATAGATCAATAGGCTATGTTACAGTTCAAATGTTAGCATCTAACCCCCTAACAACAGCATGAAATCTGACTGGATCTCTTCTCCAATCATCCTTCCCTAACATTTTCGTCTCGTTTTTATTCATTGACTAAAATGTCAATAGATTTCCTCAAGGAGGACACCAAAAGCTTTGTAAGAGCAAGAGAGTTTGGCTCTCCACTAAAAACTTGACCTTACGTGTTGAGTCCCGCAAACTCTCCCTCATATGGCGAGCGGAGCTCTTGACAGCATAGAGTTCCCATTCAAAAGGGAATCAAGATGTTAATTATATTCTGGAAATAGGGTCCTTGCTGATTATGTGTTTGCTTGGGAATAAAGGCCAATGTAGTTTAATCCACAGCATGCACACCTCAACATTACCCTATTTTACGATATAGAATAAGACAAAAACCTTCCTGAGTCTTCTTTGCATACAGTACACATGTCATTTTTACATATACCCCAACAGTGAGTTATGATTATTTCTCTAGATATCAAATGAGAAATGTTAATAAGCTATCAAAGCATATAATACAAATGACAAAATAAATCAACAGAAAAATACACTAAACACATAACACTGAAAAATATGCAAACAAGTTTTTAAAGGGGTCACATGATGCGATCTCAAATTTTCCTTTCTCTTTGGAGTGTTACAAGCTGTTCGTGAATAGATAAGATCCATAAAGTTGCAAAGACTAACGTCTCATAAAGAAACAAGAACAAGAACTGAATTCATTGTTTGAGAAGCGCTTTTTCTGTGCGCTCAGAAAATTGGGCTGAATTAAGTTCTCTTTTGCGTCGTCATGCTTTTCAAATTTATCCACATGTCTGCTCTTTTCTTACTCCCAGATATTGACATTTTTTAAAGTTTTATGAGATGTGCAGCAAGTGTACGCTAGCTTATGTAACCCTGGATAGATCAATAGGCTATGTTACAGTTCAAATGTTAGCATCTAACCCCCTAACAACAGCATGAAATCTGACTGGATCTCTTCTCCAATCATCCTTCCCTAACATTTTCGTCTCGTTTTTATTCATTGACTAAAATGTCAATAGATTTCCTCAAGGAGGACACCAAAAGCTTTGTAAGAGCAAGAGAGTTTGGCTCTCCACTAAAAACTTGACCTTACGTGTTGAGTCCCGCAAACTCTCCCTCATATGGCGAGCGGAGCTCTTGACAGCATAGAGTTCCCATTCAAAAGGGAATCAAGATGTTAATTATATTCTGGAAATAGGGTCCTTGCTGATTATGTGTTTGCTTGGGAATAAAGGCCAATGTAGTTTAATCCACAGCATGCACACCTCAACATTACCCTATTTTACGATATAGAATAAGACAAAAACCTTCCTGAGTCTTCTTTGCATACAGTACACATGTCATTTTTACATATACCCCAACAGTGAGTTATGATTATTTCTCTAGATATCAAATGAGAAATGTTAATAAGCTATCAAAGCATATAATACAAATGACAAAATAAATCAACAGAAAAATACACTAAACACATAACACTGAAAAATATGCAAACAAGTTTTTAAAGGGGTCACATGATGCGATCTCAAATTTTCCTTTCTCTTTGGAGTGTTACAAGCTGTTCGTGAATAGATAAGATCCATAAAGTTGCAAAGACTAACGTCTCAAACCCAAAGAGATATTCTTTATAGAAGTTAAGACTCGTCCACGCACTCCTAAAACGCCTTGTTCAAACATTTCTTCGTCACGATGAGGGAAGATTTACATAACGCTGCCCAAATGTTCACGCAAAGGAAGAAGGCGTAACCTTATTGTTGCTGCCACCGCCGCCATGTTGTGAAGACGCTGTGTGTTTCATTGCGAAAGTGAAAATACTTCGTTTAGCCTTCCAAAAGAGGACATGACTAGAAATCAGTGGTTAAGTTGTATTTACAACACTGTTCCAGAACAGTTCAACCCAAATATTCAGATGTGTGCAGCGCAGCATTTTATGGAGGACTGTTTCCTGATCCTGGTAGAGTAGACTACAATGCCGACTGTTCTGACTCACAGACTGTAAGTATGTTTTCATATTTAAAGAATTTGCCACTGACGATTCAAACGTGAGTTTTCTGTTCTGACTCACAGACTGTAAGTATGTTTTCATATTTAAAGAATTTGCCACTGACGATTCAAACGTGAGTTTTGAGCAGTGTAGAGTAGCGCTTGTTGTTTGTCATTTCTCCAATCACAAATGCAGACATGGTTTTATGTTTACGCAGCGCGATGCAACGCGTAAAAAGACAGTATAAGTCATTATAATCCGTAATTATGTCCCCACTGGATGCAACAAATGCCTCGTTTATAATGGGTTTTATTGGTTTTGTCTCGTCGCGCCGGGACACAGCATCACAATATGGTAGGGGACATAACATTTCCGTCACACGCTTGAGGTATTCGGCCAATCACAACGCACTAGATAGCTGGCCAATCAGAGCACACCTCGCTTTTCAGACCGATGAGCTTTGTAAAAATCGGCGCGTTTCAGAAAGGTGGAGCATAGAGGAGAAACAATAATGTACAGTATGTGGAAAATAATGTGTTTTTTGAACCTTAAACCGCATAAACACATTTCATTACACCAAATACACAAAATAATGTTCTTTTTAGCAACATCATATGACCCCTTTAATTATTAATTTAGTTTCAAAACACCCAACATTCATATTCATGCATGAATATGACTCCAGTTATAGTTACGTTTAGTACTTTAATCATTTTTGTTTAGTTTCTGACTTCGCTAATCATTACTTAGAGTAAGTGAAGTGTTAAGTTTCTCTGGATCATCTTTGAGATGTTTCTACATATTGATTGGAGTAAATCTGTGGTAAATTCAATTGATTGGACATACGTCGGAAAGACACACACCTGTCTATACAGGTCTAACAGCTGAGAATGTGTATCAGAGCAAAAATGAGGACAGAGGTAAGAGAGATGACCAAGACCCTGATGGTCACTCTGGTTGAGCTCCAGAGATCATGTGTGAAGATGGGGAGAAACTTGCAGAAGTACAACCATCACTGCATCATCTGAGCTTTATGGCAGAGTGATCAGATGCAAGCCTATGTGAAAAAACCTAAAGCACCTAAAGGACTCTTAGAATGTTAGACAAGATTCTGTGGTCAGATGAACCTCAATTCCAGTTGCTCCATTCTCTTCACCTGCGTTGTGGTGGAAGCATCATTTTTTGGGGGTTTTCAGGGACTGCGGTACTGGTCAGGAAAGAAGGAAAGCTGAATGCATCAGAGATATCCTTAATGCAAATCTGCTCCAGAGTTCTCAGACTGGGTTGGAGGTTCACCTTTCAAAATAACAGTGATCCTAAACACACAGGCAAGATGATGCAAGAGTGGCTTAGGGACAAATGTCCTCGAGTGGCCTTGCCAGAGCCCAGACTTGAACCCAATCAAACATTTCTGGATGATTTTTACCACACTCATCTCCTATTTCTGCCCGTCCTTGGCTCTTGAACTGATAGAAAAGTAAGTTGACTACTAGTTTGGATATCAGACAAACTTGCTGTTGACTGGTGGATACAACATCCTGGTGTGTCGGCCGGATCTGACATTTGGAAGTGGAATGGAGATGGTTTTAGGGAAACTAGTGACA